GTGAAGTACGAAATAATTTTTTTGAATATATCGGATATTTCAAAGCATAATATTTTGGATATTGATCCTTTAATGTTTGAATTCACAAGTGAAGATAGTAATGAGTGAGATAAATACCTGAGCTACGGGAAATATTCAAATTTTTCGTTCACAAAGATATATATATATATATATATATATATACTATTTTTTTCCCTAAAAATAAACTCAAATTAGTCCAAAAGTAAATACTAGCTCACAAATCTCAAATTGGCTTGGAAAGAAGATGTTGAGAACAATGCTTGACCCTGTCCTTCGGCAGACTTAAAGAATTTGATACGTTGCTCCAGATTCCGTACATTTTGTAAAAATATCATCTCCTTCAACAAGAGCTTAGTTTTTGACTACTTAGATTCTCTAACATTTATATAAAAGTGGATTCAATTCATACAAAAATGATACGCATGTCTACGTCTGGCCGGTGCTCAGGAAGTGCTCTGATATAACAGCAGATACAAACAATCATCAATTTACTACACTGTTGCTATAAACTTTTGATTTAATTTCAATTTCATCAAGTGTCGATATGTTTCATGACCTTGGTAGCAATTTTCGTGATTTTTTTCTCAACATTCGCTTTTATGATTTTTGACCTCAATCAGTCACTAGTTCATGGTTTGTACATGGTACATTTCTATTACCTAGAAAGTAAAAGTAGAAGAAATAGGAAGTCACCCTTTGTCCAGCGCAAGGTTTCATTCCGTTTCTTTACATCTTGACGTCTGCAATTACAAACTAGAATATTGTCTAGACAGACAAGAATGTGCACATTCTAGTGCACCCTAGGTCCAAACCAACTCTCTTAGTCCCATCAGTGTTGATTCTGTGTTAAAAGGTGTTCATGATTTTTACCTTTACGTAAGTGCAAAACAAATCTTCGGAGAGTATCCTTTGTTCATCCAAGATTCTGATTTGTTTCCATCGTCTGCTGAAGTGCTTCCTGCAGTGTTCGCGTCGAAAGGAGGTCAAATGAGATGTCCAATACTATAATTTATAAAGCTTTTACATTATATGCTTTTCTAAAGAGCTTCATTGTCTTTAGCCTTGAATTCACAGTTTTGCCTAAGTTAAGGAAGTACGACGAGGTTATACGAAGAGCATGCGTGCACCGATTTTCTCTCCACATTGACTAATACCCATGATTTTACTTCAGCAAATTGGTTTTAAGTAGAATGATAGTTTCTGGATCTTGTGAGTGTCATCTTGAATCTTTGCACGATGGAGGTTAGTTCGCAATAATTTGGATGTATTATTTTGGGATCGTTGTGAATTATGCAGAGGATCAATACCAAGGGTTTGCAAGGTACTGTGATATGATTTGAAATGACATCTCGCGAAATGGCAATGCCTAGAACTGGTTGACTTAGCATAGGTACTGTAACAGTAGGATATAAATGCAACCTGTGCAAGACTAATAGATCTTTTGTTCGAAGCATCATATGAGTTGAGAGAAAATTTTCTTTAAAATTTTTCATCACCAGCATTAGAAGCAGTTAACTTCGTACTATTCTTCGATATCAATGTACAACTTGAATTCCAATATAAATAGAATGTTAAGTAAACGATCTGACTTGACCAAATCTTTTGGAAATTATTTCTTCTCATGAAGTGTTTTATTTATGGAAAAATTCTCGTTTCTGTTATGATTTCATCATAGTAGAGGTTCTCATATACGAAAGTTAGGGTTAAAAAAATTCTCCGGTGTCTTACATTTACAGTAAGGTTGTAACGGCATTGGAATCTACGTGACTCGGATTTTGTCATGATTACATTATCTTTGAGATTCAGGTCCCAAAGAAAAGTTGTAAGCTCATGAATTGAACTTAATTTTGTAATTCGAAAGAAGATTTCGGGACGTTTATTGAATTTGTTAAAATCAAATAGGTGGGATCTCTCAGAAGCTAGAGTTAATCTTTGATTACTTTAATATATGCCAATGGCTTGGTTACATACCTCGTTCGTTCGAAGGGCTCTAGCGCACGCTGGATGAGGTCCGCATTACATCGACAAAGCAAAATGTCGATGGGGATTAGTTCGTGGACAGAAGATACGGAGGAGTATAAAACACGTCGAATAAAAAAACCCATGACATAACCACCAACGAAGAAACAAAACAAAAGGCCGACAAAGTCCAAGTAACTAAGTAGACCTGACTCAGGAGTAGACTCCGTCAATATAGTCAACAAGAAAGCGACTCGGAACTTAAATTAGGGATAAGCACTGTGCATCGGGGCAGATCTCACGGACAACTCGAAGACCAACCAACCAACCATCCATGACTTTAACAAGGAGGTTCGAATGTTGGAGCCTCAAACGTTTCAAGGTTTTTGGATGAGATTCAAGAAGGTCGATTCAATCTATGGAGTCGCCCACGTCTCACTACAGTGCTTAGAGTAAGTGGACAGGAGCTGAGAACAATCCAGCGGTGTGTACGAACTGGAACAAAAATGTCGGTGTAGTTGGCGATGATTGTGAGTCTCAGCTTTGCAGCACGTCATTATGTATGCGTCGACAATTCTGAAAGAATTAACCGTCGTTATCGATTCGAATTTGTACTTCTGGAGGGGACTATCCGAATCACGCGTTGCCCAATTCAAAATTAGCTCGCGAGGTGAGAACGAACCCTACTCGCGAAAACCGAGGCTCTGCCGTGTACTCCTCTCCTACGCCCGTAGCTGAGACCACTCTCGTCCGCAGTAAACCGCACCGGGCGATGGACGCTCGACGTCTGCCCTGAACACATCGGGAGTACACCGCTGACAGTCGATCTACGGTACTATGACAAACTCAACCCAGCAGACCAGTCTCCAAATCCCAATGTCGTTCCACATGACGTTCGCAAACTGCTCGATGTGGTACAGTAGAGCGTGGTACAAGACTGCAGTGAAAGTCACATTACGGGCCTCGCACTCGGATCCGGAGGCGGTGTGCATGTACGATACCGGCCTACTGCTGCGCAGTACGGTAGGATCCGAGCGGCGAGCAAGAAACTGCAGCCAAGCGATCAGGACGTCCGATCGAATCGAGCTCGTTCGATATCTGGAAAATGGCCGAGAACAGTTGACATGCTCTGAACCACTTCGCAACGCAGTTATTGCCGGGACGAGACTGTTGCTACGGTAGGGGTCACCACTAAACCACCCCTCCTGACCTGTCCTTGACTCTTCGCTCAGGTGACCGCGCCTGTCCGTGTGCGGCCCTGAAAGGCTAAGACGCCGAACTCCTGTATGCGAACAAACCACGGGACCGGAGGAGTTCGAGAGAAAAAACAGAAAGTGAGTCGAGACAAGGGTCGGAGGGCGAGGGAAGGAAGTCAAACCCGAAATAGAGAGTTGTCCAGTGCAATGCTGATAAAGAACACGAATAATGAGAGTAGCCACTGGGAGTAAATGTAGTTTAAACGTAGAATGTATATCGTAGAAACAGATGGGTTAAAAAAGTCGGAACCCATGCGTTGCTGAAATATCTGGGAGAACATATGCGAGTTCAGGGAATGGTCGGAAGCTTGCATGGATAGAAACTAGAGGGTACTACGTTGAGTGTATGGCGCGCTGTGTTACCGGCAGTACGTGGTTGCAGCGACTGATTTGTTACTTGTGTCAGGTACTACTAGGCTGACTCTCTGCTCGATCCTACGGAGTCGGGGGTGGATGGAGTGGAGATAAGGCCCCAGAGTCCCGACCACCCCTCCCCATCCCAGAGAAAGGAGTTGACCCTAGAAAACGAAAGAAAAGATTCTCTCCACTCGGTCTCTCACGGTTCACATGGCTCGTGAATCCCCTCAACGTGGCAGAAATTTCCACGGAGGCCCTTCCCCCGCCTTCGTCGTCAGGCGAGCACAGTACCGAGTGGAGGGTTTCGGCCTGTATCACACCTCAGATCATACCAGAAATGGCAGAAGTGGTCTCAACCCTCCTTTAAAGTATTCGGCGGAGGCTATATATTTTTTGGGTGACTTGCTCTTTCCGGGTTTGAGGGTGTGCGTGACCTGCTCTAGGAGGTCATCCGTAATACCAAGTTTCTTGTTTGTTGCTGTACCGAGTTACTGCGCAGAGTAGTCCATTTTGCTTGCGGCAGGATGGACGGACGTCGCCTGCCCGAGAAAGAAAGCGTGTAGCTATTCTGCCGTCCTCTTGTGCGCGTTCGCCGCCAGGTCTAGCCCGAATCGTGTTCACATGTGAAGAGGGCATCCGTCGATCTGAGAACCTCGGTACCTGCCTCGGAAGAGGCGGCGTTCCTGATGCAGTGCCGGGAGTTCTATAAATATCCCCATGTTGGCCGCGGACGAACATATACTTTGTCGGCACGTGCCGCGCTTCGGAAAATCTGCTCGGCGAGAACGCCTCGACTGCCGTAGGCTTGCTTTTCTGCCCAACCGCATCATTGCTCGGCATAACATGGAGAAGGGCGACGGGATGAATATGGACATGAGCGGCTGTTATTGGTCGTCGGTCGGTCGGTCGGGTGCTCCTGCGCTTTGTTGTAACTAACGATTCAACATACTTCGAACTCCTGTCGCTCGCGACCTGCGGTTAGCGAGCATGGTTAGAGCAACCGGGTAAGAAACGTTGGGTTGGGTTGAAGGGTGTCTCGGAGCGGGACTCATAGGTCAAAAAGGAAGAAAAGGGAGCGGTACAGTCCCGAGAGGGTGTGTAGGCAGACAGCGGCGCTCCAAGAGCCTGGGACATGGGTGACGAGCATTGAATGCGTAGACGTGACCGACCGGGCCGGTACTCGGATGAGGGAGCGCTCTGCGACGCCTGTCGCTTTCTTTCTTTTCGCAAGGGCCCTGCCGGTCGTCAACGTCATCCGGACTGCAGCGCTCGCTATCTGCCATGCATACACTCCTCATCCCAGCCATCGACGCCGCAGACTGCACTCGGATCCCGAGAGTGGATTCGGTCCCGTACAGCCAGAGCAGTACCGTGGTCCGATGGGCGAGGAACGAAGGAGGAGGGCCTGAGTTGGATGGTCATCGAACGGGAGCGCGGCGCAGATGTATGGTGGGACGAGCTGCCCATGGTCGCATTGTGGCGATGAACCACGGGACGACAGGTGAAGCGCAGCGCAGACGAGACGAGACGAGAGGCGAGGCGGATGCGCGAAGGGATGAGCGCGGCTGGCGAGTGATTGGAAGCGAAGGATGGGCTTTGGTGGCTCCCCTGTCGCCTCTTCGTGTCGAGCAAGGACTGGAGCCGAAGCAGTGCGCACCGAGGCGAGGACAGAAGTTATGAAGCGAGGAACGGAGGGAATTCCGTCGTGGCATCGAATTTGCACGCCCGCGAAATTAGACAACGCGACACGGCTCTTGAGAAAGATTGGGAATGCCGCAGCAGCAGCGTTAGATGAAGGTCGGAAGCGAGGAGCGCTGGTGTACACTCAGTAGCGAGTGTGAGACGAGAGCTGGTAGGGAGGGGGCTCAGTAAGTTCGTGATTTGGTCTGGAGAAAAGGTAGCCAAATAGATATTGAGACACGACGGAGTCGGAGCGAGCTGGATAGGCAGAAACACATATGGCGGCGCTATTGGTAGCGTTGTTTTTCTGCTTGCCGCCACAGTTGTTTCTCTACCCAGCCGCGCAGAGGTGCTCGGTGATTCTTCCGGTGTTGCCTGCATCCTGGTCTTGTCCTCTGTCCTCATTTTTCTCCTGTGCGTACTTTGTGTCTTTCTATGGACGGGCGCAAGGAGATGTTCAAAAGAGGCGGGCGAGCATGAGGCTTTCCCACATCACTGAGAGCTCTGGGCGAGGCTCCCACTTTTCAAATCGGTAAGTGGATTGAGCTTTGTTTGGTACGTTCTCGGGTAAAAGTCAATTCCTTTCCTGCAAGTGTCAAGTCAGAGCCCTGTGTGTGTTATTGTTATTGTTGTTGTTATTTTTTTTTCTTCTTTTTCTTCTTTACGTTTGCGGCGGCGGCAGCAGTAGCAGTAGTGACCAAAGTCCTCATCCTGGTGGTGTTGAGGAAAATCTGGCTTTGGACCCGCCGCTCCTCCTACCTACCGGTATTCTTGGTACGCTCTATCCGTCACTTCAAAGCGGGAACTAGCAGATATGGAGTTATGGCTTTATTGGACTTCAAGCGGAGTGGAATAAGAAGCGAACTTGAGTTTTCTGGGGAGTTTCTTTAAGGGCTAAAAATTCCTGAAGCTAAAACATGACTGAGAATCTGAAGAGCATCTTCAATTTGGTTTGGAACCCTGAGGATAACCCCTGACTTGTGGCAAAACGAGCTTACGTATTAGCCTTCGCACTCCTTTTAAGTAGGGAGTCTTCTGGCGAAATGATGGACCATCTAGTAGTTTCGGAAGATAAGAACAGGGTAAGAGGTTCACGATAGGGAGTATGCACGTGGTGGAAATTGGATGTTTGTGTAGCAGCTGCTCACTTTGATCAGCATCCACAAGATGAACCAGATTCACCAATCTATAAACCTATCAGTGTTGTGTACATATGCGGGGATACCTGTAATCTATCTGCACGCTTGCCGCATGGGGAAATATCGACTTTGGTTTTCATTCTTGAGTCGAAATAAGGCCAAATCTTGATTATCTTGACGTTTGATCACTATGACAGTGGCAATTTCAACAGGCACCTGTAAATCTGCAGAATAGCAAAGTAGTGAAACTCTCGTGAAGTCTGGTACGCTCATCAGACTTGCTGCGATCATATGATTCGATCCAGCGGCAAGACTCTAGCTGCGTTGATGATCATGTATCGTTCTTTTGATGCTTCATTTGGGACTGGCCTAGGAAGTAACGTAACCTTGAAAAAAGTCTGTCCAGCAACCGCAAGCTGGTCTCATGAAGTCCATTCATCGCTTTTTGAAGAGGAAATGCGTTTTGAGTATCATTCGAAAGTCCTGGGGGATTAATTCACGATCGTGTTCATGCAGCTCTTGAGGAAGTAATGATTTTCACTTGTTAGCCTGAACGCTTGCTCGAAATGAATCTGGAACGAACACGAAGCGAGCGTCATGACTTATGAGTATCTTCTTTTAGTTGTCAAGGATGTGGAGTAGAATACCAAGTCAATGCGAAGAACTGAGCGCGCCGTCAAGGCGGATCCTCCTCCCGTCATGTGAAGACCGCGAAGTCTTGGAACCTACTTCTGTTTATTTGAATGAACAGATGTTTCCAATTAGCTGAGTTTAAACCCTAGGTAAACCCCGGTTGGTTATTTTTCTTAAAGATGATGTTAGCTTTAAGTTTATCAGAAAATTTTCCCTGTTGTGCATATGAATCTGTTTGAGGCCCTTAACTTTGGACCAGGGCAGGTAAAGAAGTTTCGTGCAAGAAAATTATATCATTCTTACATCCGAAACACTCAATCAAAACTGGAGGTCAGCTCAAGGCAGGAAGCCTCTATTCCCGTTAAATTGATGCACTCCACGTCACCCGCATTCAAGGCCAGGATCCTTATCTTCTTTTCATCTGGGTTGGTCATTCGACTCGTTCTTTGAGGTTGAGTCCTGCTTGACCTGATTCTGTCTATGCGATGTAATCCAGTCTGTTCTTTTGTGTTTCAGAGATTGACTGCGTTTTTTACCCGTGGCCTCAGTTTAACTTATCTTGGTCCTTCCTAATCTTCAGCCCTGAAATTGGTCTTAAATTTATTTGTCAAAAGGCTGCAATCGTAGTAGAGGATTCTAAGTGATGGTTGAATGTGTTTAATGGTCGAGTGAAGTTCCTTGAGCATGGAAACGCCGCCTAGCTTTCTTCAAGTTAGCTTGTATCACAACCATTTGCTCCTTTTTTTTAAAATCCCATGATTGTTGCGCGTCTAAACTCAATTTCTGATTGATTCTAATAATTCTTGCTCTTGATTTCTTCGTAGCAGATCATGGTGGTGCTGCTGGCAGGCCCCCCGAACTATCAAACTTATGCTCCTATTTATCTCATGGTCTCTCTTGCTGCTGCTTCTTGGCATGCCCTGCCTCGTAGGAGCAGCTGGTGATCTGCCTAGATCAGATGGATTATCTGGACGTGCTGTAGACCGGCCGAAAGACGGTAGTGGTTTCGAAAGCTGCCTACAAACCGAAGGCATCGCTGGAAGATTACCAAAAAATGAGGAGCCTCCCCTTGGAGATGATAGCATTGAAACCTTTGGAACACTTTCTGTTGATCCCGGAACTCGAGGATCAAAAACACCTTCGCAGCAAGAAATTTTGTTGTCGCACGATATTGGATTAAAATCAGAACCACAGGAGACGAGGAGGGACTTTCGAGGCCAAGCCGGATATGGTTCTCCAGCGAAAGTGGTTAAGGGAGAGTCTGATTTCGTGAAGCGGACAAACTTTGACAGTCTTTTTAGAGACCGTCTGAAAGTTAAGTGCTCACCTCTGGGAACTTACGATCTGAAACAACCATTTCTGGCCATATCGAAATTGGGATCTTCTACACTACAGGGACCCGTACCTTCTTTACCTCACGTGGATATATTCCCACCATTTCTGGAATGGGGATCACAACCTATGTTTGCTCCATCGGTTGCATTTCTTACAGTGGTGAACACCTGCAACAGCACTGGATTGAAGGTTTTCCAGCCGTTCAGCACCGATGCTCAGTTCTATACGCATGGTTTGCAAGAAAAAGTTGTTGATCCCGGAGGTCAGCTTTCTATACCGATTGTGTTCCTGCCGAGAACACTGGGTGTTGCCGAAGCCATGCTTATTGTACAAACTAGTGCAGGTGGCTTCTTAGTTCAGGCTCAGGGCAGGGGCATTGGCTCGCCGTACAAAGTGCAAGCCTTGCAAGGACTTAGAGTTGCTTCTGGAGAATCTCTTCAGCATACTATTTCGCTTCACAATCCTCATGATGAAGTTGTAAGAGTTGGTGAAGTATATGTACGGCCTGCGGATATAGACCAAATTGCAACCTCAGATTTCAAATACGGGCCGTGCGAAGGGGAACCCTTCTCTGTGAAAGGTATATCTCATTGTGTGTACAAAGCCAAAGGTGGAGTACTTAAGATGAACAGTGAGCAGACAGATTTGAAAGGGATGAACGGTGGAGCGGCTGTTATCCAAATGAGGTTACCTGGACAGCTTGAGATTGGGCCTCACTCCAGCATATCTATAGCAGAGCTTGACTTTTCGGCTGTCAAAGCCGATAGATATTCGGGGTCTGTACACATAACATTGTCAAGGGAAAGTCAAGATTCGTCCGATGTACTGATGTTACCTATAGATGTTCAGGTAGGTGATTTGAGGGTAGATACCTCAACACTTGTGCCAGTACCTGAGGTATTGGAGTTCGGGATATTGACCGAGGAAGACCAGTCTAGCACTGTGGTTGTCATATTGTATAATCCCGGAATAGAAACAGTTCAAGTATTGGAGATTTCTGTCCTTGGTGAGGATAAAAACATAGTTGACATACAATACTTGAAAGAACTTGTGTTGCAACCAAATAGCGAAAGAGAGGTAGCAAAGATCACTTACAGCGGCAGGGAAGAGACTGTTCCTGCTGGTCTCTTTCAATGCCATCCTCGAGAGCTTATGAGGATTCGGAAGCTAGTAGTGAGAACGAACAGCTCGGTGAGCCCTGAGGTGGAGGTTCCTTATAGGGCTTTGGTCTTTCATGGCTCTGTTGATTGCCATCCTTCCCAAGGGTCTGTAAGTTTTGTGCCTCGGGAAAGTGATGAAGACAGGGAGTCTTTAGTGGAAGGCGATGCAGTCCACGAACAACGCGTTCAGTTTCCTAATGGCCTGAGTGTGCCCCTGGCCATGTATAAGGTCTGCACTTCTACACGTAAACTGTTCGTTTGCATGTCAAGTGAGATGTCCAGCAGCCATTTAGACTGCTGTATGTACCCCTTGGTTCCGAATAGGACTCGACAGCTTCTAAGTGACTCTTGATAGGATATGTTTTAAGAATTTGGTTTTTCTCTTTGGTTGCAGGATCTTGCGAGGAGAACGAAGTTGCACTTGGACACCGGAACCGTACCTCTAGAAGACACGCCTGAGAGTTTCTACTGCAGTGAAACTTCCATGGGGGAACTATCTATCCTTGAACAGACAGAGCTGATTTATCCTTCGGTGCAGATTGGCACAGGAGCCTCACTCTGGTTGAATGTGACCAATCCGACGGGGAGCTCGATTCACGTGGAAGTTGTTGTGGGCTCTACGGCAGAAGCTAGTCATGGATCTTGTAAATATATGGACCTGTATCCTGTGGATCCAGGTTGCTCTTTAGGGGTGAATATGGATACCGTAAATACAGAAGTGTCGTGTCAAAATTCTGACGTTACAAGAGACGTCTTCTCGATGGCGGAAGGAGCCGCTGTCGAAATGATTGTGGAAGCTTATGGCACGGTATCCATTGGACCAGTGCTTTTTCGACCGACAAAGAGATGCGTGTGGACAGGTCTTCTGTCTGTAGTGAACAACCTCACGACCGCTGAGTGGGTACCATTACAAGGCTCGGGAGGTTCTGGGAGTCTTACGTTTGTAGATGGGGATTTTCCCATCGACCTTTTGCAGCTGGACTTCAACGTGACTCATTCGAGCCCATTTCTCAATGGTATGACTCTGATGCTACTTACTGATATACCAGTGTACAAGGGCATTTTTCTCTTAGCAAGTTTCAGAATTAAGATGAGTTCTCCGAGGAGCTGCTGGCATATCTTACTGAGTTGCCCATTTGCTTGCAGGTGGGATGGAGGAAAAGGTCGCAGGATTCCTGTATGCGCAAAGGGCTAGATCGTTCTGCTCGCAGCGTGTCTCAAGGGGCTTTCTGGCGAAGAATACTGGTGACATCAACCTCGACGTTAAAGCGGTGGAATTGCTGGGGGGTGGGTGCTCTTCATACGGTTTTGAAGTCGATTCTTGTGAAGGGTTCTTACTCGCCCCTGGACAAACTGTTGAGCTTCATATTTCATACCGACCAGATTTTACATCCATCTCGTACCAAGGTGATACCGGTGGGGATGTCTTCCGGGGAGATTTGCAGCTCATCACTTCCGCTGGTGTCATCCAGATCCCACTGTTGGCAAACTTACCTCGGAACATACTGCCATTGTGCTCAGAGGTCGCGCAGTCCACATATTTGGAAAGCGCTTTTCTCGTCCTGACCACCTTTCTTCTGTTGGTGGTCTTGAAAGTCTTTATTCAAATGCTCACGAATGATATATCCGACCGCACCTCAAACCCCTCTCAAGACCATGTTTCATCCGACGACATGAGGTCTGTCTCTCAACAGAGTATTGGAAGTCGGCAAACATCTCCCGTTCCCCTTTCGCCCAATCATACAGTACTGGTAACGAGGACAAATGACCCCGTTGCGTTGTCTGGGCGCCTAAGTTCAGTTGGTGGTGAATCTGAGGTTCAGTCACGAACAGGAGATGGAACCGGAACAAGTGGTCATGGGAGACTGAAGGATACCTTCAAGAGACCGGTTCGTGTAGTGAGAGGAGTTGGATCGAATTGTGCTAAAGCGAATAGCTTCACACCCTCTCTTGGGACAATTCCTGGTTGCGAAGACAACATTGCAGATTTGGTACCCTCAATTGTGGCGCAAGTACCCACTGTTAAGGATCCTATTCCTGCAGTATTGAGCGCACCTAAGTCCAGTTTGGCAGGCCCTATGAATGACCCAGCACCGACTCTTTCGTTCACAAGTTCCCGTAAAGCAGTGGAGAAGAAAAACCTTGTGACTCGCCTGGACGGACTGCAGGCGAAGGTTGCCCCGGAGCCTTTGGACGAAGTTATTTTGGAGCCTATGAAGCAGACGCCGGCCTCAAATTCGGCAAATTGTGGAGCCTGTGACAGTAGTAGTTCGACCTGCAGTGAACAACGAGAAGTAGAGTGTTCACAACAGAAGAGCTCACTGCCCTTAGCACTCACTCTGCCTTTGAATTCGAGTATTGTGAACCGATCATCAGGTAGGTCTCCGAGGAAGGGTAACCAATTGAGTCAGTACAGGCAGGTTCTCTCTCTTAAGTCACAGCCCTTGTCCCCATCACAATCACAATCCTCAAGCTCGTGTGGCGTTGAGAAGGAAAAAGGCAAGCGGAAGAAGCGAAGGAGCAACGTTGGAGCAGTGAAGCCAGAATTCATCTCTAAAGGTCGCAGTGGAAGTTCTTCACCTTCATCATCTCCGGCATCGCCTGCAACGCCAGCCAGTCCGTCAAGGCCAATCAGTCCCTTGCGGCACCCAGAAATGCAGGCCAGTGTGCCGAGTTTGTCTGCCGGATTGCCTAGTTCAAAAGTTCTGGCGGGTTGTCGAGCTATCAGTGTCACTCCCCTTTCGAAACTTGATGTGGACGTAGAGCGTCGTGGACCAACGGGTAGATCTGGATCAGGGATCACGAAGGAACCTGCGAATCCTCAATACCGAAGGAACGAGAGTCTAAGTGTTGATGTTGCTAGCACTGCTCTTAGAGAGATGGCAAAGGCAACTGATTTAAGCTGGTCAACTTTGTCTGGACGAGGTAACAAAGCAGTAGACAAGAGCAAAGAGGAGACCATTGGAAGGCGTGGGGCTTCGAAAGATTGGGTTACAATTGCTCGCAAGGCAACAAATGATGAACCTGTGATTGGGAAAGGAGGCGTTCCGGACGACGGAGGCTCGGATGGGAGAGCCTGGGTTCGAAACGGTGGATATTGTGATCCAGACTTGACGCCCTCAGCTACTTTCCCTCGGAAAAATAATCGAGGAGGATCTGTCTGTAATGTACCTGCAAATGTGGAAGATGAACAGGAGTGGCTCAAGCCGGCTGTTAGTTCATCACCCCTGGTACCCGTGTCTACAATGCCACCTGCTGCTAGAGCTCCAGGAGCGAAGATACCAAAGCCTCTTCCCGACGGTGAAAATATGAATTTGGAGAAAGGAGGTGTCAGAAATATTGGATGGCGTAACGGTGGAGGAGATTATACCCAAGACGGAGGCACCAGATGGAAGGACAGATTAGACAAGAAAGCTACGACAAGTTTATCGGGGTTGAACTCTGATGGCTTAGTGTATGATATATGGGGTGATCACTTTGGCGAGATTAGTCGTTGCTCCACTCAGCGAACAGCGTCAATCAGGCCTGTAGCTAGGGACGTGGCATATCAAAGCCTTCCCATGGTAGATACCACCCCCAGTTTTTTCTCGTCGTTTGCCCAGCCCAACCTTCCCGGCACTGACAGCTGGACCCAAAGTTCCTTACCGGGAGTTTCCTGTGGATTCTCTATTTTCTCCCAAACTCCAGATGTTGGCTCCTTAGAAACTTTTAAGCTCCCATCAACTCTCTACAGTTCTCCGAAACCTGCAGTTCCGCGACAATCAGTCTTCTCTGACAAGAGTACAGGAAACTATGGACCTGCCAGGGCCGCCATTCAGGGACAGGGTGTAACTGGAAGCTTTCCAGACTCTCCAAGGAAGGCAAGGGCTCCCTATTCCCCGCCTCTTGGATTTACACCCATGTCTAATGATCTCAGTCCTCTTTCTGCTCAGGAGGTCACCGCCACTGACGCCTCTTGCTCATTCTGGTCCAGTAGCAACCTACAAGAAGTGTTCACTGCAGCAGTTCACTCCCGAAGTTGAGTGACTTGTGATTAACTTATCATGGAGGTACTATATCGCTGATTTAGGCTTGAATAGGAAGGGCGTTGGGTTACCGTCATTCTGAATCTACATTACCCCCTGGATACATGAGTAACGTTTAAGCATTACGCACTACATCATCTAGGTCCTCCGGATGAGCATATGCCATGTGCACTAGCTTGTGCATGTTTTGAAATTAGACATTTTTATTGGGATGCCCCTTGTTGTTGGCTCCAATTAGTCAGTCTAAACGAGTAATATGGCTATATGCTTTCAGGTTTCTTCACTGGATGAATCAATTCCCATCTTTTACCTGCTTGTGCCAGTAGCTACCTTGCTTCCTTATCGCTGTTTAAATCTAATTTTTTGGTAAGGCCGAGTTCTGATGATTACTTGTCTGGTAATTGTGACGCGTGTGTACAACAATGCCCATTCCTGATGCATGGAATGGTAATCTTATATGTAGGAAATGGAAAGCAGGAAATATTCTAGAGTCCAGCTCTGTTATTAGCCATCCTTTTGGGAGATCTATCCATCATGGCAGACTTAAGGACGATGACGCAGTTAGACGTAGCTAAAGCTGGTGATGGGTTAGTGCCGTTGTCAGTTGGATAGTAATCTCTTTCCTGCAGAGGATCTAAAATGCAATTCAAGGTGAAAACTTTGGTTTTACAATATCACCGTTTTGTCCGTGTTGCTGTTACTCGTGAAGAGGGCTTATTTAGCAATCCTGCCACAAATGGAGGCTATCTTAAATTTAGCAATCATCTTTGTGCAGATTACTGAAGCCAATCATTTTGTGCAACGGACTCCTTTTCAATGATGGAGTCCTACAAAAGAGAGGCTGCAAAGGAGGACCTGCGAATGCCCATTGAACACACGAACGATGAAACGGCTCCTGCTGCATTTCTTGCTTCACCACCAGAAAGTAAGTGAATCTTGTCAAGTCGAATAGCTGAGCCCGAGTTCAACGAGTCCATAACCATCTTTCAGCTAATAAGAGCAGGTCCTCATACGTTTGTCTAGTCGTTTTAGAGGGCTTCTGGATCGAAGCATGAGTGCAGGTCATGAAAATTGTTTCTGGTTTAGTCGAACTGAGTCGTGTATCTAAACGGTGTGATCATCACCGGCAGATTATGCGCTTTCTGCACTCATGCAGAGATTTCTCGACTTTCTCTAGTTATAGGACCAGCAGAGGAAAGTTAGGCTACATGTGCGGTTGCTTTTGTAACTTCTTTCTGCTTACGTCTGTTCACAAGAGAAAGCCTAACCATCAGTTGGGATGTTGCACATGAAGTTCAGAGTACATGTGTCGAGTTGATATGCTGATTCGCATGGTTACTATTGTTTCATAGTTGAGCTCAGCTTGTTATATCTACGCACACTATGAAGCATGTTCATATGGTTCGTTTTAGCATCACAGTCTAATCATGTTGACTAAGTACTGTGGCCTTATGTAGAGATTTCGTTCTCATCTTCACCACCGACCAAAGTTGTTGATGACGTTGCTCAAGGCTATTATCACGCATTTGACTGTTGATAGATGGCATACTGATGTATGATAGTATCAGTTGACATGAAGGTCTGATTCTGATTGCTGATTTCTGATTGCTGGTCTGATGTTTCAGGGTTGTATCAGAGTTTCAGTGGTATGTTCTTCAAAAACTAACAAACTTATGATATTGAAAGATCGAAAAACAAAAACAAAAACAAAAACTCCAAAGTATCAGGTATTATTAACACATCTCGTAACGAGTGTTCGCAGGAGTACTCCTGTGAAACACCTGGCCTCGAAATAATGAAGGCTCTGTACCTGAGCTTAAAACTATGTATGCTTATATGGAAAGCTTGTTTGGTGATTTGTCCTGTAGGTCGTCGGGGGAAGGCTCACCACACCGGCGTGCCTACATGCCTCCTTAGGAGCACGCAAACATCATGCCGGAGTGCAATGATGACTTTGGATCAAAATGCAGCCATGCCTGCTGGAGATTCAGCAAATTTTGAAACTGAAAATCTGCATATCCAGATGTGTTTATAAGTAGGTACTCATTTTGTATCGAGCACCTCTCTTTACAAGCAGTCGTATCTGAGACAGAGAGAGAGAGTGGCATAAAATAGAGTTAGGTAGTAGTAAAACCACTGGCGAGAATTTGTTGTATATACTGTTTTTATTTATTCCAGTTGGCATATCGCTATACGTCTACATCTGCGCGTAGTTTTTTTTAGTCTAACCTGCCTAGAGCCTTTTGATTGAAAAATGACTGAGATGCGAATGGTACGGAGAACTGTACTGGATAAAGGCATCCAACATACATACTGACAAAATCAAAGCATTTGCTAGAACTTTCTGTGCTGATCAAGGAATTGCGTTAGAAAACGAACTACAGCGAATCTTTTGAAACAGTATCATACTTTCGTCTGACTTGATTGAAGGAAAAGATTTACTTGCCACTTGCTGCTGTATGCGATGTCGAGTCAGTTCGTGCTTAGATCATACTTTCTTCGTGCACCAATTAGGTGAAAAGAATAAGACGTCATATTTCCTTCCATTTTTAGAAGTAATAAGCAACAAAAGCTTGTCTCAGTATCAGTTTCTACCTGACTTTCTTTCCTTAGTCTCTCTCATTACTTGCAACCATCATAACCTAGATGGTGGACCTAGGAATATGAAACATGATCTGAATGTCCACCACTTGTAAGTCGTACGTTCTTCAAACCGACAGGCAAATATCATGGAGAGTAGCCGGTGGAAATATTTGTTTAACTCTCTTGTAGCTTCGATTTAGTTCCTGCTCGTGTACATTTTAGCTCCCATGGTGTTCTATGCTTTGTGTTTTTCAGCCTTTTGACCCTTTGGGTCCCCCGGGCTTGATCTATTACCATTTACCATGTACCATTTATGCTCTCTGCTTTGTAGCATTAGTACAGATCGGTGTAATTTAGTCTGAGTTTTGATTTTACTTTCAGAAAGATGTGTTTTCTAACGAGAATACGGTATCGGGTCATCGTTTGTAGCATATATGCTGAGCCAGTAATGTTTTCACACCAACCTCGGCCGTGACTTGAATGAATGTCGCAGGTTATCACCATTTGTGCACTTTCACATTCTTCCAGAGATGCATTTGTTTCACGAGTCGGTTGTGGAGATTTCTTTTCGTTTGTTTACTTCGCGATAGATTTTCTCTTCTGTTTCGCTGAAACAGTTTCATGAAATTTTTGGATATTTTAAAAATGTGTACCCTTTTCTGCAGTCCTGAACTGAAGTATTCGAAATACGCTTCAAGAGTCAGAATCGATGGGATTCTCATTCTTGCGAGTTCCCCTTCCTTAGTATATGTTGGGAATTATCTATCATTCATACCCTACCCTTTTTCATACATATCCACTTCCCTGAAGCTTACATGGACTATATCAGTGCGCTTGTTATGTATCAATCCATCCCTCGATTCGTTTCTACACGGGTCTAACAGTGTTGTCCAAGCATCGTGTGTTGAAATCTATGCTGTATCTAAGTTGTACAGTTTCTTCCGCCTCGCTACTCTCCTCGGTGCTTCGCATGAAATAGTAGAGAACCTCAGTAGACGGCAAGCTGAGAGCATCTGGCATTAGAAATGCGTGGAAAGCTTCCATGAAACACCACCAAGGCACGGTCAAGGAAGTTCGGACACCTGGTTGGGCAGGTAACAATGACCACCAACACACCCTTCAATCTCAGGTCTAATCAATGATTGCAATTCACAAGTACGTATTAAAGTAAAGGAGACCTACTCTTGGTACTCATTCTCGGATGGAGCGAGCATACATCTGCATCTTTATCGGGTAGAGTTTTCAAACCATGATGCCGTGAGCATGCATCTGCAGCATACCTTATCGGGCAGTGTCTCCAAGCCATGAGAGCATTCAGTTGTAGTCTTCTACCCCAAAATCGTTCTCCGCGAGACGACCAATATTGCAAAGTGCCTCTTCTGACCTTTGACGTTTGCCAAATCATCTCGACATCTGAGGGATTCCTGTGTCTGTAGGGTCCTACATGCCCATACGAACAGATCGAGCAAGCAAAGAGTAAGATTGAGATCGCCTCATTTGAACTTTTTTCTTTCAGAGCCGGGTTTAACTACCCGACTGGTGGAATGTCGGGTTTGCACACTGCAACAATTATCGATGCACCCTCGATGTAGTTTCTCCGCCCACGTAGGGAACGATCGGGATCAACATGCACTTTCGGCAGTGAAGCTTGCTTCTGATTTTGTGTTGACACCAACCTGAGGGGACAGTGTCGCATTGGAATCTGTTGAGTATATACCCTACATTCGAACATGAAGGATGCAACGTCGGGAATCCAGGCCCACATTATCGACGTTCCTCCTACTCGTCCAATTCGAACACTACCAGACAACGCAATCCCTTTTGCATGACAAAGGTTTCCTAAAATACAATCTCTCCAGCAGGTTTGGAAGATTTTGTAAGGAAAAAGCGATAATCGTTACAAGGATCCGTCCTATCTACAGCTACCTAGAGGAATGCTCGTAAAACGCGTGAATTTATTTGTTGTTTACGATATTCATCTTGGTATCATGACAAGTTTGGATCACATTCAGTGGTCCACATCCTTAACCACATTAACAGACAAACAAACAAATACGTTCACTAAAAATTGGACAAAAGATCAAATATACACAGTAAAGTAGATAATAATTAAAGTGTAATCATCGAAGTGAATTAAAATTACAGCAAAACTAGCTCCCCGCGCTCCCGAATTCCTCGCTAACCCGCGTACAGAAAAGTGGGAATAAGTACAACGCAGAGATTTTATTTCAGGCAGTGGGTAGTGTGTAGACTCTAGTGAATACTTTCTGGATCTGGATTCTGTCAGTTTGAATCTTTGGACGTTGGCGAGCGGAAAAAGTCTCCTCAGTCGAGATTCTCTTTTCTTCACGCTGTGAAATCTACAGGGCATACACATTAGTGTTGAGCCTAACATGTTGCTTTATGCAATTTGACGGCGAGCAGTCTTCTTATCACTCGGATATACGAAATGCAGCTTCCGATACAAAAGAAGGGAACTTGAAATGGTTGACTTAGTTCAATAGTTGAAACTATTGAATGTACACTGCTGTCGTTTGCTCTGGCTCCCTTCTAAATGTTATGTGCATTGCAATTGGGTGGAAAATCGCATTCACGTGTAAGGTGAATCTGCTGAAATTCACTCACCGTACTGTGTGCATTTGATTGTATTCTCGTTCATTTAACATGTATGTATGGCGCACAATTGTCACTGCAATACCATTAACAATTACTTTTCACTTACCACAACGCCGCATTTTACAGTAAGAATTGCAAATTCTTTTCATTTGATAACTTTAGATAACATATTTATATCTAACAGACAACATTAAGATGTTGCGTGAGTGTATGATATTGTATCTTGTTGAAAACACCAAATATGTATGTTATGCAAGTGTGAGAAAAAGTAACTCTAATACTTCTTTTATATACAAGAGTAGAGATTTTCAAATAAAATTTTAAGTTTAAAATGATTGAAGTTTTTTCAAAAATTATAAATCCAAAAGACTTGAATTTCACAACATGTTGTTACTTACAAATTTGGCTCATTTGACTCAAATTTACATACTTTAGATTTGTATAGTTTATTATTGAAGTTCAATCATTGAAGTTATTTATTCATGAATAAAACCTAATACATATGAACTTGTTCTCATTATTTCTAATCAAGCACACAAATCAGTAACATTAGAAAATAAATAAAATCAATTTTACTTTATCCAGCTTATCTAAATTCTAATTCTCAAAGTTGTTGTTGAATCTCTTGTCTATGCTTTTGAAAAACGATTTGATTTTGAAGTAGAGAACGATTGCCAGCAATTTTTTATTCTTTAAGCATATATTAGAATTGTATTTTTATAAAACAATCAATTTAAGTGTATATACACCCAACACACACCCACTCCGTGGTATTAGTGATATACACCCAAGAAATGTCACGCTATTCACCCAAAAAATACCACAGAGTAGGTGTGTGTTGGGTGTATATACACTAAAATCAATATCACCATAAAATATTGTGCCTGCCAAAATTGAATGAACTTTTGCTAATGTTGTGGAATTTTTTGATGGATTTGCATTTCTCATTGATATGATATTAAATAATAATAAGAATAATAATAGTGTCTATTTAAAATCATAAAGTTATTTTTTAAATCATTTTTTATAAGATTTTATCGTCATTTATTAATGTTAAATATTTTTTACTTGAAGATATATACATTATTTAATTTTACATATCTAAATCTCAACACATGTAATTTTTCAAACTTTAAATTGATAAAAATGATCAAATTAATACAAAAATTAAAATAATAGAATATTCTTTGAACATGTATCTAAACTATACACATATTTCTAATTAAACTATACTACCGAAGAAAAAAATAATTCTGAAATTTATCCGTCAACTAGGAAAAAATATTAAAAATTGAGTAAAACCGCATTTTGATCAAGGAAAGTTTATTAAAACGAACCAAATAATGAAAAATATTGAAAATATATCAAATGATGATTGTGTCATTAAATTGAGGTGATATTGATTTTAGTGTATGTACACCCAACACACACCTACTCCGTGATATTTTTTGGGTGTATAGCGTGACATTTCTTGGGTTTATATAAATTAAAATCACTACACTCATATTTTATACTTAGTTATTTCATCTGAATGTCTTGAGATTTTCATTTGTTATAAGTTATGAATGAAAATGAATAAATAATTACAAGAAAAATTAAATATGTCTAAGTTGTATTAAAATTCTTCGATGTATGTGAGATATCTCCCTCTATCATATTAGATAATGAGATCTTGAATATTCTAACTACAATTTAGATAAAATCAACAATCATGCTGCGTAAATCAATATGTCAAATAATAACTCTTAAAAATAAGAATATGGAAATAAGCGCGTTAGGATCACACAACTACTCCAATCATTCACTAATAATAAACAGGGTAATCAGATGAGTTGTGGTGTTCACATTGACAGACCAAATATACTTTTCATTGTTTCAAACATTTTTTATTTGAGTGTTTCACCAAAATAATTTTGCTGAGCCAATTATCTCACATTGAAAATATTCCATAAATATGTTTGATGTGAGACCACAAGTTAGTTTTTTTTCTCAAAATGCTTCTTAAACTCATCTGATATTAACTCGTGGCCATAACCCGAAGGAAGATGACTCACTCCATTCGCATTCTCTCCTCTTGAGTCGAAACAAGAGCTTTCCATTGTTTGAAAATGTCAAAGACTGCAGAACTCTTGTGCATGGGAGAAATTCGTACATATATCTCGAGCAGTCAGATAAAGTAGTATTCTTTTCCAAGATGTGTGAGAGAAGGACATGGCCCCCGCACGTTTGACTGAAGATACTCGAGATTAGCTGTAGAGCTGAGCTATGCATTCCAAGGAGCCATGAATGAATCGAACGTTCAACCTAGCTCCACCGTCGCGGATCACCATCAAGGAGTAGCAAGCGAGAGTAGAACGTCGAGACTGGGCCATGCTTGTAGCGTAGACTAACATGTGGGCACCCAAGGGCATATCTCATACGAGCACGCAAGGCAATCTCGAGAATACTCACAAAGATGACGGTTCTTCACATAGATAATTATCAGAACCTACAGCAGTGATTAAGTTGGCTCCAGTATGACTTTGTCCAACAACAGAGTAACTATTACACACTTTTGCAATGAACTTTGAAGATCCACTTACCGGGAAAATATTCAGATATATCATAAATCAACACGCCCGCGAGAACACAAATATTCGCTGACGGCATTTGGGCATTCACGAGAAACTTCGCATGATTTTACTGCTATAATCTATTTCTGTGCCTGAGGAGAGAACCGGATGACTAGTTGTGCCAGGGTTCACTCTTTCCACCCGAAGCTATTTTTATCTTCTCTTTTTCGTCACCCGTGAGGTAATTGACGAAAGACAAGCGCACAGTACTTTAGATGAGGAATTTGTCTACGGAATCTCGGCAAGTGAGCATCGAGAACTATGGATACGCAGTTCCTAGTCTCGAACGAGAATGCGAGAAAGAGAATGGGAAGAAAGTGTTCGTATCTCGGATGCAAAGCAGCAGCAGCGGACATGTCGGTCGCTTGGCACGCTAAAGGTGTCGAGCAGGATGTTGGAACAATTCTGCCATACTTGACTGGAGCAATGGAGAACCTGGAACAAGATGAACAAGTCAACGATGCCTACGACGTGATGCCCCTGAGAGTATCTCGGTGGATGCCGGAGACAGGACGGGCAATATATCGACACAACGAAAAACGGAGAGCGACGAAATAGATCGCCGATTAGGTAGTGGTCAGATACGGAGGAGGAGTAGGTAGACAGGACTCAGAGTGGACTGTGCCAAAGAGGGTCAACATCCAAGCGACCCCGGCGAAGTTCAGTTCAGTTAGGGATGAGTACGGTGCATCGGGCGGTGGTGAATCTTGCGAAGATTGGTAGATCTCATGGACAAGCGCGGAGACCAATCACAGTGTGCACACGGAGATTCAAACTCCAGAAAGGCGAAAACGCTCTAAAAATGAGATCCATAAAGGTCGTTCACTTCGTCGCACAGTGAGCAAGCAGACGGACACGAGCTTGCGGACAATCCTCTGGCCCAGTGTGGTTGGCGATGATTATAAGGCGCTCCGCCTCGCCGCACGACAGTGCCAACGCCGGGTACCGCAAAGACAAATGCACCTGTGATCATCGCCGATGCGAATATGAAGCAGCGACGAGAGGAATGCGGAGATGTGACTGCCCCATCCTCTCGATCCCATCGATCGATATTCACGCGAAATTAAACTCCTCCTCCGACAGGTGGCCGCTGTACGGTACTCTCGGGTCGAGTACAGTACAGTCCCGCGGCCAAGCCGTGTACCGTACCGGCTTGGTAGTTGAGAGCAATCTCATCTCATCTCCACTCCGCTCGGGAACTGCGACCACAGTAGAAGCGCAGTTCCTCTGCCTCATGTCGTCGTCGTCGTCGTCGTAGTTCGCTCGTGAGGATTCGGGACGGCTGCATGAAGAGAAAAGTCCCTGGACATGCCAAACAGTCGGGGAGGCGCGGAGCGGGCCCGTTGGGCCCAGACGGGCGTTGATGTACTTTCGAACGTACAGTGCTGCGGAGTACGGCGCGATCAGGGCGGGCACAGGCGCGATGGAGTGAACGGGATCTGAACGGTCCGGATGCGTCGTCAAACGTGTGATCTTGAAAATGGCCGAGAATATTCAAAATGTTTCGAACTGCGTGGTAGAGAAGTTATTGCTCGAATGATACCGTCTCTACGGTAGGAATCCCCACCACCCCCCGCCCCCGCCCCGCCCCGCCCCGCGTCAAGAGCCTTGACTCCTCTCCGAGGTACCTACAGTCAGACTGTAGAGCCCAAAGGATAGCCGCGGTTAAACGGGAAGGGGCGCCACGATATCTAGCCCCAAGGATCGGACGGACAAATACTGTACTAGGTTAGCACGAGGTTAGTACTAGTATACTACTAGGTTACGGGCTATACGCGGTAACAAAGTCCGAGGGGCCGAGTGGAGATGAGTACGCCCGGCACCGCATACCGTAACATGGAGGGGAGCAGTGTGGTACATGTACTGGACTGTAGTTGTACTGTACATTGTGGAGGTGGAGCAGTCGCGGAGATGTCCTACTCCGTTCGCAGTGAGGTGACGCAAGACGCGAATCGAGCACGAATCGTCTTCACATGCGATTCTGGTCGACGGAAGGGGTCAGTCCGTCGTCATGGCTTTGAAAGAGGCGGCGTTCCTGCAGGGAGGGGGGTGGGGGGTGCGATGGGGAGTCGGGACGGGGATTCTATGCGAAATGTCCACGGTGGCCGTGGACTAACAAACAATATGTCTGGCACGTGCTGCGCTTCGGGGGAATCTGCTGCTGCTGCAGCTGCGGCTGCTACCGATTCTGCCGATGATGCAGCGAAATCGCATCGGGCGTTAGCTTGCACAACGTACACGACCCGCGCGGGCAGGGAGGGAGCTCGCGCTCGAAGAGAACATTTTACGTGGTGAGGACGAATGGCTGCAACGGGTTGCCGCTCTGGCGTCACTGGAATCTTGCGCTCCGGTCTGGCCGACCCACGCGGATATGCGAATTGAAATTCAGCCCTCGCAACGTCCACTACGCCCCCGAGGGCCGAGGGCGGACCCGGGGCGAGGTTCAGCTGCGCCGCGTTAGTGGTCGGGTTACAGGTCGAAGGGCTTCACGGCCCCGGTCCCGGTCCCGGTCGCCGGGTGGTGGAGTGCGGAAGAGAACGGCGCTCCAAGCGCGTGGGACATGGGCGCAGCACAACGAAGGCGGATACGTGACCGGCCGGACCGGGCCTCGGATGAGACTGACTGTGTCGGGTTGCCCTTCCCGCCGGTCGTCTCCGGTGTCCGGAGTTGGGTCAGAGATGGCTCTGGCCCATGCACGCAGCTCTCGGCGCATCATCCACGACGACGGAGACCGGACTCTGGGGCAACAGAGTGGATTGCGCACCGTGCGGTCCTTGGGCTGGGCCGCAGTCAGACTGACGGGCGACGGACGGAGGATGGGACGGAGTCAGAGGAGGGGTCCGAGAGTCCGAGAGTCCGAGGTGAGGTAAGAAGCGGAAGCTCATGGAAACTTGGTGGCGCGGAAGGAAGGAAGGGGAAGGAAGGAAGGAAAGGTGCCGAGGGCAGAGATGGAGCAGCAGCGCAAGGAGGGGGAGGAGTGGGAGGGGAGGGGGAGAAGGTGAAGGACGGGGAGCGCAGCGAGGGGAGGGTGTTTTTGGCTGCCGAGGCGTCCCGAGCTGTCCCCTTGGTTGATGAAGGGAGACAAAGCATTGCCCAGCGACGCAAGGGGCGAAGGAAGGAAGGAAGGAAGGAATGGAGGGGATTCTGTCGAGGCATCGAAACAGCGTTCGGGGGAAATTCGGCAGCGTGTCCGCAGTGATTGGCAAAGATTGGAATGCAGCAGCCGCAGCAGCAGCGATAGATCAAGGTCGGAAACGAGACGCGCCCGTGCAGACCTCGTAGCCAGCAAGCAGCATCCGACGCGAGAGAGCTCGGAGGGCGGGCTCGGGCTCCGGAAGCGCGAGCGATTGGGTTGTAGACAGGGGAGGCCAAAGGATTGCACACTCTCACCGGAGCCGCAGCGAGCTTGTACAGAAACCCAGGACCCCGATGGCGGCGTTACTGGTAGCGTTGTTTTTCTGCTTGCCGCCGCAGGTGTTTCTGTACCCCGCGGCCCACCGATGCTCGGTGATTCTTCCGGTGTCGCCTGCATCCTGGTCTAATCCTTTCTCCTCCTTTTTCTCCTGTGCGTATCTTCTGTCTTTCTACGGATGGGCGCAAGAAGGAGTTCACAAAATGCGGGCCAAAATGGGCGTCTCCCACATCACTACAAGCTCTGGACGAAGCTCTCCGCTTTCGAACCGGTAAGTGAGATTGAGATTTTTTCCTTTCCTTCTGTGTGCTCACCCTCTTTCCTGAGAATGCTACGTCGGAGTCCTGTGATTGGACTTTTGTTTTGCGACCGCAGCAGCAGCAACAGCAGCAGCGTTGAGCGAGGTCCTCAACCTCTCGTGGTTGCTGCCAACGATGAAGATTTGGCTTTGGACCCGGCGCTCGACCTGTTCTTCTTGGTGCCTCTTCTCTGTCCATGTCTTCGAACTGGCAAGCACGGAGATGGAGTTAAACGGCTCTTTGGGATTTCTGCACGGAGTGGAGTGGAATAAGAAGCGGACATGAGTTCCCCGGGCACTTCTTTCGAGCCCGAAATTCCTCTTGTCAAACCATAACCGAGCTCGAAGGGCTTCTTCCCCATGACATGGTTGGGAACTCTGGAGATTTAAGCCCTTGTGGCAAGACGAGCCCACGAAGTAGCCTCTTTAAGCCTTTCAATTTATCGATGTCTAGTGCCGAAATGCCCGAGCATGCAGTAGATTAAGAAGATGTGAACAGGGAAGGGAAGGGAAAGTGTACACGCGTGGTAAATGGAACTGTATCTAGCAGCTGCTCACGTTCACGAAACATCAGGAAGTGAACCGAATTCACTACTCTTTGAACCTATTGCTGTTGTCTGCATACGCGCGGAGTCCTCCATTGGTTCCTGCGGAGCGGGTGCCCGCCACCTGGGGACGAGTGTAGTTTGACATTTGGTCTAGCTTCTTGAGTCGAAGTAGACCAAATCTTGATCTTCTTGACGTTTGATCATCGTGACGGTGGCAAGTTTCAGCTGGGCAATATCAGTCACCTCTTAAGACTGCGGAATGGCACAGTGGTGCGGTCGAGAATTATGGTACGCTTGTTAGCTTTGCTGCGGTCACTCGATTCGCACTAGCAAGCGGAGAGGATGTTGCTCTAGTTGCATGTGCAATAATGGTTCGTTTTTCGAATGCTTCGCCTCGGAGTGGCCCATGATCTCGCCTCGGCCCGAATTCTGCGGAAAGTACTTCGAACCTCGCGGCCGTCCCTTGAAAGTCCTTTCATGGATGTTCGCAAAGGAATTGTCTCACCGAACGTGTGCTAAGTAGGAAATTGACAATAGGTCGTGCGCAGCTGCAATCCTGGAGCTTGCTGGGGAATACGCTGTGATCCTTTTGTTGCAGGTCTGAAGGGGGGAGCTCAACGCCGCGACTGTTCCTTATCTGATGAGGACTTGGTTCAGTCTTTTTTTGTCGAGATCTTAGACAAAGTAGCTCTAGGTAATTGTCGGGGCGTGTCAACTTGAATGCGTGCTCGCCCTGGGCTAAAGGATCAACACGAAGAGACCGCCAGGAGGTTATGATCACTCAAGGCCTATCGCCAAGGATTTGGAGAAGAGCAGCAAGTCGATGCGTTAAACCGAAAGCGCCGTGAAGGGAGTTTGTTCTATCAAAGGTGAAATACCACAAGATGTGGTGATACCGCCAGATAATTGATTGAGAAGTCTGGTGAACGAAGAAATCTCGGTTGGAGCCGTTAATGGGAATCTCTCTGGAATTAGAACAGCAAGTTGGCTTCGTACGTTCTACGTTAGTTGCAGGGCGGGAGTGTTATCAACACGACTTTGGTTCATGAGGATGAGGAGGCTCACTTTTGGTCCTGGAGATGGATAGATGATTCAAATTATGTCAATCCTAACCGAGAGTGAATGACTCATGCTCAGTTCTGTTGACTGCGGATGAGATGTTTCCTTTGCATTAAATTAGCTGGAAGTTAAATGAAGGAAGTTTCATCCTGTTAAGGCCTGAAGCACTTCGCACTAATTCAAGTCAAAACCCTGTGCCTTTCGAACATGAACTGTCTTAACACAAGACATCTGAGCTGTAAAGCCAAGTCAGTTTACACCAGCTCCGGATTGGTCAGAGAACTCTTATTACCATAAGTGGATTCACACTAGTTCGCATATTCTTGAGCCTAGCATCCAGTTTCACTTTTGAGCTGCTTTGAGAAACGCATACTGCCTATTTGGTCAAGTGCTTGATTACATGGCTTCGTGATAGGACTACGTTTCTAGGACCATGGCTCTGGTCCAGGATGCATCCGTCCTTTCTTTCTTTTCAGTCCCGAGAATGATCTCAGAGTTGTGTAAGAAGGTTGGAATCTCCGCGGTGGGTTGTCGGTGCTTGTCTTATTGTTTTGCATGGAAACGCGGCCTAGCTTTCTTGTTGGAAAATTACTTGTTCCGAGGTATGCTTTTTGTCACTGCGGACTTGAGGTTTGGACTCCTGTCAATAATCAGTAGTCCTGACTCTTATAGCGTCGTTGGTTTTATGTCCTTGTAGCAGGTCATGGTGGTGCTGCTGGCAGGCCCCTCGCGGCAGCGAACTCTTGCTCTTATTTATCTCATGGTCCCTCTTACTGCTGCTTCTTGGCATGCCCTGCCTGACACGAGCAGCCAGTGATCTGTCTAGAGCAGACGGATTTTCTGGAGCTGCAGTAGACGGGTTGAAAGACAGCAGTGGCCTGGAAACCTACCTACAGACTGCTGGAATCACTGGAAGACGCTATAAACATGGGGAGCCTCCCCCTGGAAGAGATGGCGAGGACACCTTTGGCAAAATTATTGTTGATTCGGGACTTAAAGGACCTAAATTACCATCGCAGCAAGAAGGTGTGGTGTCACATGATTTTGGTGTCAAACCAGTGCCACAAGTAGAGACTAGAGGCTTTCGAGGTCAAGCCGGAGATGATGCCAGAGCCAAAGTAGCAAAGGTAGATCCTGGGACTGTTGAGCGGATGCACTTCGGCAACCTTATCAAAGATTGTCTGAAAGTGAAATGCTCACCATTGTCAAGTTACGATCTGAAACAGCCATCTCTGGACAAGGCATTCTCGTCCATACCGAAATTGGGATCCCCTACCATACAGGGACCTGAATCTTCTTTACCGCACGTGGATATTCTTCCACCATTTTTGGAATGGGGATCACAACCAATGTTTGCTCCATCGGTTGCATCTCTGACTGTGGTGAACACCTGCAACAGCACTGGTTTGAAGGTTTTCCAGCCATTCAGCACCGATGCTCAATTCTATACGCATGCTTTTGAAGAGAAAGTTGTTGATCCAGGCGGTGAGCTTTCTATTCCCATAGTATTCTTGCCGAGAACACTGGGTGTTGCCGAAGCTATGCTTATTGTACAAACTAGTGCGGGGGGCTTCTTAGTTCAGGCACAAGGCAGGGGCATTGGCTCGCCTTACAAAGTGCAAGCCCTGCAAGGACTTCGAGTGGCTTCTGGAGAATCTATTCTGCATACTATTTCGCTTCACAATCCTCACGATGAAGTTTTGAGAGTTGGTGAAGTATATGCATGGCCGGATGTTGAAGGAACTTCAACCTCAGATTTGAAAGGTGAACCGTGTGAAAGGGAATCCCTGTCTCCGAATGGTTTATCTCATTGTGTGTACAAAGCCAAAGGTGGAGTACTTCAGTTGACCAGTGAGCAAAGAGATTTGAAGGGGATGAATGGTGGAGCAGCTGTTATTCAAATGAGGTTACCTGGACAGCTTGAGATTGGGCCTCACTCCAGCATATCAATAGCAGAGTTTGAGTTTTCGGCTGTCAACGCTGATAGATATTCCGGGTCTGTCCACATAAGATTATCAAGGGATAGTTCAGATTCTGCGGATGTGCTAATGCTACCGATAGATGTTCAGGTAGGTGAATTGTGGGGGGATACCTCACCAGTTGAGCCAGTACCTGAGGTGTTGGAGTTCGGGATATTGACCAAGGAAGACCAAGCTAGCACTGTGGTTGTTACTCTGTATAACCCTGGAATAGAACCAGTTCAAGTATTGGAGATTTCTGTACTTGTAGAGGATAAAAACATAGTTGACATAGAATACTTGAAAGAACTTGTGTTGCAACCGAATAGTGAAACAGAGGTAGCAAAGGTCACTTACAGCGGCAGGGAGGAGACCGTTCCTGCCGGTCTTTTCAAATGCCATCCTCGAGAGCTTATGAGGAATCGGAAGCTTTTAGTGAGAACGAACAGCTCGGTGAGCCCTGAGGTGGAGGTTCCTTACAGGGCTTTGGTTTTTTATGGCTCTGTGGATTGCCATCCTTCTCAAGGGTCTGTAAGTTTTGTGCCCCGGGGAAGCGATGAAGACGGGGAGCCATTGTCTCTAGTGGATGGCGATGCTGTCGACGAACAACGCATTCAGTTTGCCAATGGCATTAGTGTGCCGCTGGGCATTTATAAGGTCAGCACATTTTTATTTTTATTTTTTCACAAACTTTGACTCAGAATGGCGGACCTCTCTTTGTGCATACGAAGTTGGGAGTCCAGCAGCTGTCTGAACGATGTACACTATGGTTCCTAACAGCATTGACATCAAATGGAAATTTTTTCATAACAATTCTTACCTTCGGTGGTTGCAGGATCTTGCAAGGAGAACTCAGTTGCAGACGAATACCGAAAACCTACCGCCAGTAGAAATCCCTGGTAGTGTCTGCTGCAGTGAAACTTCTATGGGTGAATTATCTATCCTTGAACAGACAGAGTTGATATATCCTCTGGTGCAGATTGGCACTGAAGAATCGCTCTGGTTGAACGTGACAAATCCGAGCGGCGGTCCGATTCACGTGGAAGTTGTTATGGGATCTATTTCAGAAGCTAGTCATCGATCATGCAAACATACGGACATGTTTCCTGTGGATCCCGGTTGCTCACTAGGGGTGATATCGGATACCCCAAATAGAAAGATGTCATGTCAGGATTCCGATGTCACAAGAGACGTTTTCTCGATGGCCGACGGAGCCGTTGTTGAAATGATTGTGGAAGCTTATGGTACAGTATCCATCGGTCCAGTGCTTTTCCGGCCGACGGAGAGATGTCTGTGGACGGGTCTTCTGTCGGTAGTGAACAACCTGACGACCGCTGAGTGGGTACCATTACAAGGTTCGGGAGGTTCTGGGAGTCTCACTTTCTTAGATGGAGATTTTCCTATCAACCTTTTGCAGCTAGACTTCAACGTGACTCAGACGAGCCCTTTCTTCAATGGTACGAACTCAAGTTCCACTTACTGATGTACCAATGTACAGGACGTCTTTATAGTCGCAAGTTCCAGGATAAAGATAAATCCCGTGTGCTATCTCACTCATCTGCCCATGTACTTGCAGGTGTGATGGAAGAACAGGTCGCTGGATTCCTGGATGCCAAAAGAGCTAAAGCAGTGTGCTCGCAGCGTGTCTCAAGGGGCTTCTTAGCGAAAAATACTGGTGACATCCATCTTGACGTCAAAGCAGTGGAATTATTGGGGGGTGGATGCTCTGCATACGGTTTTGAAGTTGATTCTTGCGACGGATTTTTGCTTGCTCCAGGGCAAAGTGCTGAGCTTCATATCTCTTACCAGCCAGATTTTACTGCCATTTCATACCAAGCAGACTCCAGTGCGGAAGTCTTCCGGCGAGATTTGCAGCTTATCACTTCTGCTGGTGTCATCCAGATACCGTTGTTGGCAAATTTACCTCGGAGTATTCTACCATTGTGTTCGGAGGTGGCTCAGTCTACGGTGTGGGAGAGAGCTTTTCTTGGCCTTTCCATCGTTGCTCTTGTGATGGTCCTGGGAGTTTTCTTTCGAATGCTTCTGCAAGAAATGTCTGTGTCTCAGGAACAGGCTTCATCCAATGGTCTGAAGTCTGTCTCTCAACAAAGGATTGGAAGTCGGCAGATTTCTCCCATCATCTTTTCGCCCAATCACACAGTATTGGTAACCAAGACAAACAACTCGGTCGTCTTGTCTGGGCGTTTAAGGTTAGATTGTGGTGAAACTGAGGTTCAGTCTCGAACTGGAGATGGGACGGGAGCGAGCGGTCCTGGGAGACCAAAGGAAAGCTTCAAGGGACTGATTCGCGCACTGAAAGGGATTGGAACCCATGCTGCCAAACAGGATAGCATCACAACCTCTGTTGGAACGACCCGTGGTTGCGAAGAGAACAAATCAGAATTGCCACCCTCGATTGGGATTCAAGGGCTCAGGGTCAAGGTACCGATCCCTGCAGCACTGAGCACACCCAAGACCAACTTGGCAAGTCCCATGAAAGAAGCAGCACCGAGTCCTTCCAGCACAAGCTCCCGAAAAGTTGTGGTGGAGAAGAAAAACCATGTCCCTCGCTTGGACGCGCCGCAGGCAAGTCTTGCACCTGAGCCTGAGAGCGAAGTTATTCCGGCGCCTGTGAAGCAAGCGCCGGCTTTGAAGTCTCCTAAGTCTGGAGCTTGTAACAATAGTAGTTCCACTTGTAGCAAACAAGAAGGAGAGGTTCCACAGCAGAATGGTTCACTGCCTCCAGCACTAACATTGCCTTCAAATTCTGGAATTATGACCGGATCATCTGTCAGGTCTCCCAGGAAAGGTAATCAATTTAGTCAGTACAGGCAGGTTCTTTCTCCTAAGTCACAGCCCTTGTCCCCCTCACAACCACAGTCTTCGGGTCTGGGTGGCATTGAGAAAGAAAAAGGCAAACGAAAGAAGCGGAGGGCCAACGTGGGGGCAGTGAAGCTGGATTCTGTTTCTAAAGGTCGCAGCGGAAGTTCTTCACCTTCATCGTCTCCGGCATCGCCTGCAACTCCTGCCAGTCCGTCAAGACCAATCAGTCCATTGCATCACCCAGAAATGCAGGCCAGTATGCCGACTCTCATTACTGGATTGCCCAACGCCAAACTTCCCGGAGCTTCTCGTGTGACCAGTGTCACTCCCCTTTCGAAGCTTGATGTAGATGTCGAGCGTCGGGGACCAACAGGTAGATCTGGGTCAGGGACCACCAAGGAACGTGTGAACCCTCCCGTCTACCGGAGGAGCGAGAGTCTGAGTGTCGATGTCGCTAGTACTGCTCTTCGAGAGATGGCGAAAGCAACTGATTTGAGTTGGTCAAGTCTATCCGGCAGAGGTAGCAGATCAATAGACAAGAACAGTGAGGGGACCATGGGAAGGCGTGGAACTCAAAAGGACTGGGTTACTGTCGCACGCAAGGCAACAAATGGTGAACCTATGACTGGAAAAGGAGACGTTCCTGACGACGGAGGTTGGGATCGGAGGCCCTGGGTCAGTAACGGTGGATATGGTGGAATTACCGGTCCCGTCTTGACACCGTCAGCTACTTTCCCTCGAAGGCATGATCGAGGATCCGGTTGGAGCGTACCTGCCAATGTGGAAGTTGAACAGCAGTGGCTTAAGCCAGCTGGTTGTTCCTCACCCCTGGTACCTGTGTCCACAATGCCACCTGCTGCTAGAGCTCCAGGAGCGAAAATAGCGAAGCCTCTTCCCGAGAGTGGGAATATGAATGTGGATAACGCAGGTGTCAGGGATATTGGATGGCGTAACGGTGGTGGAGATTACACTCAAGACGGAGGTAATAGCTGGAAGGACATGTTTGATAAGAAAACCTCTCCAGGGTTTTCGGGGCTGAATTCTGATGGCTTGGTTTATGATATATGGGGAGATCACTTTGGTGAGATTAGTCGTTGCTCCACTCAGCAGACAGGGCCAATCAGGCCCCTAGGTAGGGACGTGGCATATCAGAGCCTTCCCATGGTGGATACCACCCCCAGTTTTTTCTCGTCATATGCACAACCCAATTTTCCAGGCACTGATAGCCGGGTGCAAAGTCCCTTGTCTGGAGTTTCATGTGGATTCTCTGTTTTCTCCCAGGCTCCAGATGTTGGCCATGTAGAAACCTTAAACCTTCCACCAGCTCTTTACAACTCCCCAAAACCTGCACCTCCGCGACAGTCAGCCTTCCCTGACATGAGTACAGCAAACTATGGACCTGCTAGGACCGCTATCCAGGGACACGGTTTTTCTGGAAACTTTCCCGGTTCTCCAAGGAAGGCAAGGGCTCCTTATTCGCCGCATCTCGGACCCTCACCCATGTCAAGTGAGCTTGCTCCTATTGTTGCTCCTGAGATCACTGCCACTGACACTTCCTGCTCATTCTGGTCCAGTAGCAACCTACAAGAAGTGTTCACTGCAGCAATTCACTCCCGAAGTTGAGTGGCTTCTGCTGAACTTGCTGTGGAGGTACTATAATGCATCTTTTAGGCTTGAATTGTTAGGTTCCGGGGGTTACTGTCATTCTGTATCCTTTATCTCAACCTTTGAAAGGGTTGTTTACATTGCCCCCAAAAGACGCAAAGTAAAATTCAAGCGTTCCGCACCACAATCATCTAGATCATTGTTATGTGCATAGTTTTGTGCACTGGTTTGTGCATATGCTGAAGTTGGACAATTTTTTGGAAAGCCCCGGTTGGTTGGAACCACCTGTAGTCCAAACGAGTAATATGGCTACGTACTCCTCTATGCTTTCACTATCTTTTACTGGTTCACGAAAGTCCCTAGTTCCAACTGCTTGTGGCAGTAGTTACGGTGCATTCTAACCACACCACACGTGTGCATGTCGGTGTAAATCCGTGGACTGAAGAGATCCTGTGGTTGGATAATATGTGAAGACTAAACCTACGATGATTTAAGGAGTGTTACTGTGAATCGCAAGGGCTTGAAAATGGAGAAGACATCTAGGCTTCCTTGCGTTTGGGAGAAAATGCTGCTAAATGTAGTGGGTCCTACGCAGCTCTACCCGTCGAGGTAAAGCTGATGTCCCAGTCAACAATATATGCCAAATCTAGTTCAAGTATCGTTAGCAGAGCCAGCTGGAATGTAAATAGCTGTCCTGAAAAATCACGAGAGGTGACCTTTCAAGACAGCTATTTTCATTCCAGTCTACAAGTAGACAGGAGAAGGCTGAGGTCGGACGCCCGTTATGGGTAGCAATTAAGTGATGGAAGGAATCTCTTATAGGTTGTCTGTCTCCAAATTTATTGTCCGCCGATGTTGGATGTCGAATCTTTGAGATGGTGGGAAAGTGATAATAGCCGTGTAAACTTTAAGCAAGATTCAGATTACGTTTTAAGTTTGGTCGAAGTCCGAAGACTCACTTAGACTTGTGTATCAGTGATCTAGTTGGGAAAAGACTATCGACTACGGCCCTTGAATTATAAATTTCGAAAGGGAAAGATGAAGTGAAATCCTGGAAGACTATATTTCTAGGATTTGAAGTGAACTTGCGGATGTTGCAGAACGAAGTCTTAGCGTCTTGGAAACTTACAGTAAGGAGTGCACATGAGAACAAGATTGAAGCATTTTGGCTATGCCGGACTGTGTCACGATACGGCTAAGTCATGCCTAGGAAGGTTTGAATAGATCTTCTGGTCTCGGAAATAAGGTTTATTGGCATTTGCCACCATTGTCTGTAATCTGTCTGTATTCCATTGGATGGTGTTTCAATCAGTTTTCGTTTCAAGGACTAACTCAATACTCTAAATACAATAGGAGGAAATGAGGAACAATTACGATAAGGTCACGTACGTCATAAGAAGCCATGTAGTTGCTCGCCAGTAAGACAAATTAGATTACCGGGTTCCTCGTGTCTAGACTTAGGATCTCGATTATTTACAGTTCGATGACAATTTTGATGATGATCCAGATGCAAGAATTCGATTTGTGTACACCGCGAGCTTTGCTTCGCAGGCAGAATAGCAAGCGCACATCATAAAATTCGAGCTTTGCAACTGTCTGCGTCTTCTGTGGCCCGGGATATTCGGAAGTTGGTGGAACGTGTTGGAACGTGAGAGTATTGGAGTGAGTCCTGGAAACGCCTACAAAACGAAAACAGACAGTATGGGGACAAAAGCCAATGAGCCTCATCTCCAGGGTAACAATGCAAAACACCCTATGCAGAAAGTCGTAATCACAGCAGTGAATCTGTCTGAATTTGTCGTGGGACCTTTACATCGCTAAACATCCGCATAAGGTAGCTATCAACTCGGGATTTTCTCAGTGCAGTGGAGTCTACAGCGATCCTACCTTGCACAACCAAGAAGCTTTCTGCCTCGACTTCAGATTGATATTTTTGTTCTCGCTTAATATCTTTTCTATACAGGGCTGAATTGAGCAGATAATGCTAAGAAACCTCAGGAACGAGGTTTAGCAACATGTACTTGCACGGTCGAACCAATCAAACCTACTACCGGGCTTCCTTGCATTACACATCCATCAGCCATCATCCACGCAGTGGTGGACTATCATGTATGCGAGGTATCCTCGAGCATCCCTCACATTCATGTGACTGATCCATTTAATGCCGATCGAACACTCCCGGGAGGTCTACACTGCGCAATGGGAATAGCTATACAAACACCAATTTTTATTGCACGTATCAGAACTCCAACTCTCAGATAGTCTTGCTAACCATATTTACATCAGCAGTAATTGTCAGGGAGAATTTTTGAGTTTAATTTTAGTGAAATTCTGCTTCTTGCTATGATAGTTGTTCTCGTTCTAACTCTCAATTTCACTTCGTTGTGGTTCTTATTATACTACAATCCTCTTACCTCTCCAAATTAGTGGCTCTCCAGATTCTTGTCCCCTCCAAACGAGACAACTAAGGGCGATCAACAAAACATGGTGAAGAGCACAGCTGCAGTGGACGAAATTAAGAAAGAAGATAATACATCTCTTTCATTGGATCTCGTTATGCAGAAGATTCCAGATTCGACTTTTCTGGCTAGATGCAAGGGCACCTAGCCACAACAGTAGTCCAATTTTCGAGTGGATGTAAACTGATGGTACCGGCTTCCGTGAGAGAGTGTTAGTTACACTACAGTTCTTTGGAGCTGATCGTGAGCTGTAAAACGATATCATTTGCCAAAAACCATTCTAATCGTGACCTGTAGATATCCTAGGCTCATATTTCAATTTGAGACGAGTTATTAGATTACTCACGCCAGCGCTATATCCGGTCTACGAAAGGAGTCAACTTGAGTTTTATAGCTTTCGATTCTATGCGTTGTTCTTTAACATTTCATTCATAGAATATATGATATTTCCAATGTTGTGCAAATATATATTGCGATACACTCTACATCGTTGACATGCTACTCACATACATACAAAAAAGACACGAGAGCGTATACACTCAAATGTACCACAACTCGCCCCCCTTGCTGGTGATCAGGTACCTTTTACTCCCAGTTAGCCCTATCTACAATTACATGTTATATACCTTCATGGGTGCGCGAACCAGTAGGTCGGGTGCTATGTCGCCCCATCCTTAGTCGCGTATATGCAATTCATAACATGTGAAGATCAAGTCATCTACCCCTCCAAACTACATCATGTACAAATCCATCGTCCATCCAGAACATCTATAGGTGGAGTCAGACACGACAAGTTTCATCCCTTAGAACACCTATCATCCACCAACATACGGACCGCTTGACCACCTGATCCACATAGCATGCACCTCAAGCCATCACGTACTATTGATAAGCTTGGATACATAGTACCATGCACGTTTGGGAGGTGACATGATGCACATAATCCTTCCAAATAGCACTGTCACGACCTTCCAACATGAAAACTCCAGAAGCTAACACTTCTCGCACTCACAAGATAGTGCGTACCGTCGTCACATCCAATGTTATCGGTGTAGTCTGCTGTAGATAGACGTAGTCTTCCACATGGAACCTACGAATCGATGATCTATAAGCTCATTCCCGGATGATTGCAAACCGCAACGTATCTCTATGTTAAGCAATAGCAAGATTCTCAAACTTTGTAGGCATAATTCTCCAAAAGAGCTTTGCACGTTGAGAACACTCTCATCCACATGTTTGGATCATCAAAGTTCACCACCTCGCTAGACTTACGACGAATCGATGTTGGCAGATTCGGATCTCGGCCGTACAAAAGAAAATATGGTGAGAAAGAAGTCAAGGATGCTCGATGACTGAACCGATATCACATGACCAACCATGGTAACTGAATATCCTAGTCCCCAAATGCTACTTCTGTAGTCCATACTTGCGCAATGACTTCTTCACTGTATATACAATACGATTAGCCAAACCATCCGCCTCCAGATGATCTCGAGACGTGGTTCGATGATCAATCAATGCATTGTTACACAAGACTTGAAACTCACCCTGAACATCTGGACCTTGATCGATCAACACTTCAACTGGTGCACCAAAGTGACTAAGCACTTTGTCAAGGAAGTCATACGTTGTTCCCTCACTCGCCTTGTCAGGTAATGCGACCAACTCAATCCACTTGGAGAAATGTTATACCATGACCAACACATACCGATGATGTTGTACAGTCAAAGATAATGATCCAGCAAAAGCTCAAACTCCAACGTGAATCCAACCCCATGATGGATAAAGTATGTAACTCTGGTGTCCGGGCATTGAACGATGCCCTCACCCGATCACAAACCATGCAACGTGATACCAACTGCTATACCTTAGTATGCATATCACACCACCAATATTGACCAAGGAGTAAATTGTATCTACGCTTCACTCCAAAATATCCCAACTCCTCATGAGCATGTCGCACAATGCGCGTTCTCTAAGCTAGATGCGCAACTACTCGTACCCTACCGTCCTCCCACACTCGGAGAACATGTGCTCCCTCTAATCAATATCTTCTTGCCCGCTGGAAAACACGATCTCGCTCCTTGGCACCCACTGTGTTTGGCACCATACATGTCCGTAGTGGCATACTGGCACCATACTGCATACAAAAGAGCTTTGTCATCAAAGCTCTTTTGTATGCAGATGATGTCATATTACTAGCACGTGATGCCACTAGTTTACAGAAACACCTTGACACTTTGGCTAGCTTTTGTACTCAAAATCAGATGGAAGTCAATTTGGAGAAGTCCAAAGTCATTCTTGTGGGCACTAGATCCAAGCTCTCTTTCTGTTACAAAGGATTAGAGCTGGAACAAGTGAAAAGTTACAAATATTTGGGCATTGATTTCTCATCTGATTATAGTTGGGCACTTTGTGTGCAAAAGAGGGTAGAAGCTGGTTTCAAAGCTCTATATTCATTGCTAAATAGATGTAGAGGAGCTCATCTACTGTCTTGGAGTCTTAGGAAATTCTTATTCAGGAGCTTAGTGTTTCCCGTTATCTTATATGGAACACAAGTGTGGGGTCCTGGTTGTAAGAAGACAGGTTGGCAGCGTTTGGAGAGGATGCAAAAGATCTTCTTACAAGAAGAATTGGGTGTGAGGACCCAAACTTCTTATGCAATTCTTCTTGCGGAAACAAGTTGTCTACCTCTTGAAGCTGAAGCTCTCTTTTTGACTATCACTTACGTCAAAAGAGTGAGATCTCTTGATGCTTCTCGACTTCCTATTGAAGCTTTGCGTGCCACACGTCCCAAGGGTTGGTTTGCAGATGTGGTGACTTGGTCTTTGAGGTGAAATGTGACGGAACTCGATTGGAATTTGCAACCTATTGCCCTACGCGAGCGTATTAAGGAGGAATTTCTCAGCATTATGTGAAGCACACGAGGCACCAAGATGCAGTTTTATCAACTTCATGTGAATCCTATGCTTGTTTATTGTGAGCAAGGATACTTACTTGCAGAGATATCTACTTCTTTACGTCATATTATTGCTAGACATAGAACTGGATCTCATAGTCTTGGGATTGAAGAAGGGCGTTGGTTGAACATTGATAGGAGTGAACGTATTTGTAGGCTATGTGATGGAAGAAAAGTTGAGCATGAAGAGCATGTATTTCTTACTTGTTCTAGGTATGTAGAGGTTCGAGTGGCGCATAAAGTTGATGTCGAGAATTTCTTTTCTCTGCTTCAACTTGAGCCTTATGATTTAGGTTGTTATATTAGAGATATTATTAGTTACCGTTCTAGTGCTTTGGGCACTTGCTAGGGGGTTCTTTTGGTTCTCTCCTAGTTTGGAGTTGGATTGTTTGTATTGTGTTTTTTAGCCTTTTGACCCTTTGGGTCCCACGGGCTTG